CTATTTAGTATCCCCCCGCCATCCCTTGTAACCAACAAAGACTGAAGAAACATTTTTTTTTTAATGCTTCTACTTTTAAGTGAACCAATCTATAATTTGGTCAAATTTATATATATAAAGGATCCCTTGTGGTGGAATGGTTAAGCACTTGGCTGCTAACCAAAAGGTTGGCTATCTGAACCCACTAGCTGCTCTGCAGGAGAAGATGTGACGTCTGCTTCAGTAAAGATTACAGCCTTGGAAACCCTATAAGGGAGTTCTTCTCTGTCCTATGGGGTCACTATGAGTTGGAATCAACTCAACACCACCCAACAACATAGATATATATAAATATGGAAAAACTCCTTCTATGGTGAAAACTAAAGGCAAAAACATGCTTAAGTCCAATTTATGCAACTTTCCCTCACATAACAGTACAAACAATTACTATGAGTAGAGATTAAACACTTCTCTCTCTGCACTCTAAATTGGATTTTCTTGCTTCTGCCTTTTGGTGGTTGAAATTAACTGGCCTACATGAGTTCTAAAGAGAGCTGATATATAACATTTGTCTCTGTATGCCTGAAAGAAAATTAAACCTATCATGTTTAATTTGAAAGGTTAAATATGATCAGTACCATCCCAGAGAAGATCAAACACAGAAAATTACTTGTAACACTGACTCTATTCATCAGAAGATAGAACTTCACCAATAAAGACAGTGATTAAACACTAGAATAGACTCTGAACAAAAAGGCTAGTTAAAAACTAATATGATTATAATTAGCACCCTTCCAGATACACAGGAGAATGCCATTTGGTGTAGCAGCAATGGAACAGGCTCTGGAGGCAGGCAAGCCTGGGTAAGAACAGTAGGTCTCCCAGATCTGTCACTTACCATTAGTATGATCAGAAGTTAAAAAAAAAGAAAAACCTGCTGCCATGCAGACTCATGGTGACCCCTTGTGTGTCAGAGTAGAGCTGTGCTCCATAGAGTTTTCAATGGCTGATTTTTCAGAATCAGATTGCCAGGCCTTTCTTCTGAGGAGCCTCTGGGTGAACTTGAAGACTCAAACCTCCACCCCTTCAGTTAGCAGCTGAGTGTGTAACCCCTAGCAACCCCCAGAGACAACTGATCAGAAGTCACTGCCTCTAGAACCAAATTACTGGGCTGAAGGCTATGGGGACCATGGTCTTGGGGAACATATAGCTCAACTGACATAACATAGTTTATAAAGAAAATGTTCTACATTCTACTTTGGTGAGTAGTGTCTGGGGTCTTAAGAGCTTGTGAGCGGCTATCTAAGACACTCCACTGGTCTCACCCCATTGGGAGCAAGGGAGAATGAAGAAAACTAAAGACACAAGAGAAAGATCAGACCAAAGGACTAATGGACCACAACTACCACAGCCCCCACCAGACTGAGTCTA